CAAGATCCTCTCTGGACTCCCCAAACCCTCCCGGGACCCCCCAAAACCCCCCAAAACCCCCCCAGCCCCCCACCTTGTGCAGCCGTTCCATTCAGCCGCGGCCGGGCTGGGCTCAGTGCCAGGCGCCTGTGGGGGCACAGCGGGGTCCGGGCACGGCCAGGGTGGGCACGGAGACCCCCGAACCCCCGGGATGGGGGTCCCACCGCCCACCGCCCCCCGGGCACGGCCAGGGTGGGCACGGAGACCCCCAAAACCCACCCGGGATGGGGGTCCCACCGCCCACCGCCCCCCGCACCCCGGGCACGGCCAGGGTGGGCACGGAGACCCCCGAACCCCCGGGATGGGGGTCCCACCGCCCCCCGCACCCCGGGCACGGCCAGGGTGGGCACGGAGACCCCCGAACCCCCGGGATGGGGCTCCCACTGCCCACCGGGCACTGCCAGGGTGGGCACGGAGACCCCGAAACCCCCCGGGATGGGGGTCCCACTGCCCACCGGGCACTGCCAGGGTGGGCACAGAGACCCCCGAAACCCACCCGGGATGGGGGTCCCACTGCCCCCCGGGCACTGCCAGGGTGGGCACAGAGAACCCCGAAACCCCCTGGGATGGGGGTCCCACCGCCCACCACCCCCATCCACCGGGCACGGCCAGGGTGGGCACGGAGACCCCCAAAACCCACCCGGGCTGGGGGTCCCACTGCCCACTGCCCACTGCTCCCCGGGCACGGCCAGGGTGGGCACGGAGACCCCCGAAACCCCCCGGGTTGGGGGTCCCACTGTCCCCCGGGCACCAGGGTGGGCACGGAGACCCCCGAAACCCCCCGGGTTGGGGGTCCCACTGTCCCCCGGGCACCAGGGTGGGCACGGAGACCCCCAAACCCCACCCAGGATGGGGGTCCCACTGCCCATTGCCCACCGGGCACTGCCAGGGAGGGCACAGGAGGGGACAGGGGGTGACAGAGGGGACAGGGTGGGACAGGAGGGGACAGGGCGGGACAGGATGGGACACAAAGGGACAGGAGGGGACGGAGGGGACAAGGGGGGACAGGGGGGACAGGAGGGGACAGAGGGGACAGGAGGGGACAGGAGGGGACAGAGGGGCCCGGGGGGGGCCCCCGCCCCCCCCCCCCCCCCCCGA